AGGTAAACTTTCCTAAGGTGTGGTCCGAGGACCGCACAGTAGTATAGGCGCGAAAATGTAAGGACAAAAACTACTCAACTACATGTTACAACAGGTAGGTTCTATGTTAGATCAGAGAAGAAAAGACGACTGTGATTACCAAACATTTTATTTTAACTGACTCTTGTAATAACGTTAAACACTACTTACTAACGCTCGTGAGTAATTACCGTCCCCTAGCTAACAACTCCCCGCATGATATAAACGTTTTATTAGAAAGAATAATACAATAAACAGTACAATGACGCAACAATTAACAATCAATCAGACGACAATCTACAATCATTCAATAATTCTATCAGTTAACACTTGTAAGAAGCAACACATGATTTAAAGAATTTAAGTGAACGCCTACCTTTCCGACGGAAGTAGAGAAACACTGAATGGCACCTATAATAACGAAAAGTCTTCTGAACTTCTAATTTTTTGATTTCAGCCGATCAACCAATAGGGAGAACAAAACAGAAATTTGAAAATACAATTCTATCAGAATTTGTTTGTTCAAGCATATTACTGAGAATACAATATATCATATGTTTAGTTAGACATATGCAATCGTGATTATGAGGATCGCTGATCATGAGAGTGGAATAGAAAAAAAAGAAAAGGAAAATGAAACTTTGAGCTCATTGAGCTTCTCCTATAAGCTGAAGAGCACACGGAACATCCAATTGTATTGTAATCGCACAGTCCAACCAGGATTCTTTCTTTCATCCACTTGTTAGCTCTCACTGATCATGCTTCTACAAAACTTTAACTGGATGACCGTACGACCCCTGATTGTACAGACATAGTTTGTAGTTTGGACTTCGTTATCCATTTTATAAGCTCCGCAGGAAGAACTAAAGCATCGGGTAGGCTTGTTAGAACTGAGGTAATTACTTGATAAGCAGATTTTGCTCAAACGTTCTTTGTAGGCAGGGATGAGTCTTATCATTAGGATACAAGCTATATTGACGCTTATCACCCACAGTATAAACAGTATCTTCGATGCAACTGTACCAATTTGGAATTATGAATTAATTGAGAAACTTACTTCCGTAAGGAATACTGGTCAGAATACAAAACAGGATAGCCATTGGAGGCACAATTATACACATTATTTTGAAGGATGCCTGAGCAGTGAACTAGAGGAACAACTAGGTAAGGGCACTAACCATTTTCAGAACATCCATTGTCATTTTGTGTTGACTTTCCATAGTTTGACTTGAAGAGGACTGTGTTCTGTGCATTCTCAAAGTCCATATGAGATATCCAGTTGATACGCTCCCAATTATTGAATAGATACTTATGCAACATATACAATAATATACGATGAAAACTAAAGCAGAATCATCTTTTATGTTCACCACCAGAGTTTCTGACATGAACAGCTCTGGTGGAGGTTTGTTGTTGAACATCTGTGATTTGTAACACTTGAAATGGTATGAAAGAGGGAACGCGAACCTCAATACAGGAGAGTCTATCATTCTCAGAAATTTTCAATTTGTCTGCCATTGTTGTCAACATTATTGGATTAAGGATAGAACCAAAAGCATAAATGAAAGGGATTTGCTTTTTTCGTCGTTCAGTCAGGTAAACCGAGATAGCAACAGCTCTCATTAGACAGATGAGAATAAGAAACCAACCTGCAACTGAAACAGATATGAGATACGTATCGCATCAAGAAAAGAAAAACAATTACATCCGTAAATACCCAATACTAAGTACATTTGTCCTAATGTGCTCATTCCAGTATAGTTCATAAGTCCCTTGACATGGATGGCGCAGCAGGGTAGTAGAACGGAGGGGATTGTACCCATAGAGAGGAAGATTTGAAAAGAGCAGGATCTTTAAAAAAAAGGTTTTTTTCAATGAAATTTTTAGTTGTCTTACGACAAGAAATTTCCTATTATAGCGGCCCGGAACATAGCACTCATCTTGGTAGGGACGACGGTGAATATGTAAATGGAGAGTACTAGAGTGAGTATACCCAATAAAGAGAGGATCGTCATGATCGTTGTGTAGATCTCCATTGTAAACCTATGAGCACAACAACTGGAGACAAGAAGCTTCGTTAATCAGAAGGCGTTTCAAGTGGTAAACACTATAATTCGATTGCATTGACAATTTTTTGAGAATGTCAGAAAGCACTGCCAATTGTAACAACCCACATAA